AACTCGGCAACTGGACAGGACTTCTGGCAAGCGACTCAGGACACTCCTCGACTGGTACTGTCGTTGAGCTGTCACTGCCGGCGAGCGTGGAGCGAGTCGTGGCAGAGACGACTGGGCGAAACATCTGGGAGTCGTAACATCATACAACAGACTGCAGTGAGCGAGCTAGCAGTCAAAGTAACATCATCTTCGTGCAAGCTGCTCACTGAAGCTTGTGACGCGAGGCTGACACAGCGCCTGCCAACAGGGCTAACTGTGGCTTGACGAGTGTCGTTCTCTCGGCAGTTGGAGTTATAGCAGAGGTTAGTCTAAGCGTCCCCAGACTTGTTTCTCTACATACAACTGCACTCTGAAGGTCTGGAGGTGAAGTGAAACAAATCTTGATGGGAATCGTAGCAGGTACAATTCTGCAGAACATCACGAGCGACGAGCATAAGAGCTTTCTGTACAAGGGGGCTCATACGCTCAGGGCTGACTGATAACAGCTGTCAAACGCACTGGTCACACCAGGTGACTTAGCACAGTGGTGCTACTTTGGATCTCACACTGGACTCATGGAAAACTTTACACACACCCGTGGTACAACATGCCTTAGCTAGCAAATGATGCTTTTCTGTGCAAAAAACTGACACTAAGCCATACACTAACATGTGAGAACACTGACTGAGAGGAATTAATTAGCACATGACATATATCTTCTCTCAATCTTCTTGACAATACTGAAATAATTACTCGATGTGACATCATGTGATGTCAGGCGTGATGTCGCGAGGTGACGTCATCAGCACTGTGACAGCAGACATCTCGAGGTGATGTCAGGCAGACATCGTGACGTCATGAAGTCGGGCAGCAGCATCGGTAACGTCAATATGATGCAGGCAGCAGACCACAGCATGAGGCCTGGGACATCTGGCTTTGTAACCCACGTGGCTTGTAGATCCACGTGACATCGCCCACACCCCACGTGGCGTCGTGATCCATGTGTCATGCTGATCTACATGGCTTGCTGATCCATGTGCTTGCTGATCCATTTGGCTTCGAGTGGCCTCAAGCTCTCGGATACACAGCTCTGGCAATGAATTCACACGAAAAACAGCAGAAAACACAGCAGAGGGAGTGATGGCGTGGTGGTGTATGGTAGTGTAGTGGCGAGGAGCGTGGGTGAGTGTACGGCGAGGGAGGATCTGGCCACTTCCTCCTCTCCCACCCACAAACACGTGGAGAAACTCACTGGCTGCAGAAATCGCCACAAAACTCGCCTCTGACTTGCTGAAACAGCTCTGCTGAGCTGAACAACAACAACAGCAGAACATACAAGTGACTCTGAACACGTGACTCGAGATACAGCGCGGGACGCTGTAGTGTGGGGTCACTGGGACGCCACTTACAATTTTCGAAGAAATTGGCAAATTTCGGCTGGATCCTGCTTGTACCTGTGTCTGGATGCTGAAACGTGCAGACACGACATCAGGATAACTCGTTGAGAGACGGATGATTCTTGCATGGGGTGATGAAGTGATGACTTCATCCCTCTTCCTTCCTCTCTCCAGGCAAACACAACTGCTGCGACCACCGCTGCTACCAATGTTTAATGAAATTATTTGGTGAGCTGAAAGCGGGGTATGAATTATAAACTATAAACGTCTTCGCGAGGCTTCTTTATTTATAGCAAAGTCGTGGTGGGTACACAGGCTTGTGTGTTGTGCCCATGGCCCGGGCAGGGCCATCCCACGAGAGGAGGGAGCTACTAGTAGGCCTTGTGTCTTCCTACTAGGCCACTGTGTGAGTGTGTGTGTGGGTGACCAGCTTTCCACAGACCTGGACAGGCCCAGAGGGCAGCACCTGAGTGGCGCAAAACATGAACTAAGCTGGCAGACAGCATGGGCTGTCTGTGCAGACAGTACAGGCTGTCTACAAGGGATGTTAGGAAGTATTTATTTAGTCTTAGAGTTGTCAGGAACTGGAATAATCTGGAGAGTGAAGTAGTGGAAGCAAGTTCCATAAATAGCTTTAAGAAGAGGTATGACAAATATCATGGAGCAGGGAGAGTGAATTAGTATCGACCAGTGAAGATTAGGGGCCAGGAGCTATGACTCGACCCCTGCAACCACATATAGGCGAGTACAACACACACACACACACACACACACCACAACACACACACACACACCAACACCACACACACACACACACACACACACACACACACACACACACACACACACACACACACACACACACACCACAACACACACCACCACAGCACACACACACACACACCAACACACACACACACACACACACACAGACACACAACACACAGACACAACACAGACACACACACACAGACAACACACACACAGACACACCACACAGACACACACCACACAACACACAGACACACACACCCACACAGACACACAACACACAGCACACACACACAACACACACACACACCAACAGACACTCACACACACACCACACAGACACACTCACACAACACACCACCACACATCAGCACTACAGACCACACACCCACACAGACACACTCACACAGACAACTCACACACCACACACAGACACACCACACAACCACTACACACACACCACACAGACACACCACACGACCACACACACACACACACTCACACAGACACACTCACACAACACAATCACACAGACACACTCACACAGACACACTCACACAGACACACTCACACAGACACACTCACACAGACCACACTCACACAGACACACTCACACAGACACACTCACACAGACACACTCACACAGACACACTCACACAGACACACTCACACAGACACACTCACACAGACACACTCACACAGACACACTCACACAGACACACTCACACAACACACTCACACAGACACACTCACACAGACACACTCACACAGACACACTCACACACACACTCACACAGACACACTCACACACACACACTCACACAACACACTCACACACACACACATCACACAGACACACTACACACACACACACCACACCACACACACTCAACACACACAACACACCACCACACAACACACACACACACAACACCACACACACACACACAACACACACACACACACACACACACACACCACCAACACATGCATAGACATGCATAGACATGCATAGACATACATAGACATACACACAGATGTGTACACACACACACACACACACACACACACACACACAGACTACAAACCTCACTCAAGGAAAAAGATCTTGGGGTGAGTATAACACCAGGCACATCTCCTGAAGCGCACATCAACCAAATAACTGCTGCAGCATATGGGCGCCTAGCAAACCTCAGAACAGCATTCCGACATCTTAATAAGGAATCATTCAGGACCCTGTACACCGTGTACGTTAGGCCCATATTGGAGTATGCGGCACCAGTTTGGAACCCACACCTAGCCAAGCACGTAAAGAAACTAGAGAAAGTGCAAAGGTTTGCAACAAGACTAGTCCCAGAGCTAAGAGGTATGTCCTACGAGGAGAGGTTAAGGGAAATCAACCTGACGACACTGGAGGACAGGAGAGATAGGGGGGACATGATAACGACATACAAAATACTGAGAGGAATTGACAAGGTGGACAAAGACAGGATGTTCCAGAGATTGGACACAGTAACAAGGGGACACAGTTGGAAGCTGAAGACACAGATGAATCACAGGGATGTTAGGAAGTATTTCTTCAGCCACAGAGTAGTCAGTAAGTGGAATAGTTTGGGAAGTGATGTAGTGGAGGCAGGATCCATACATAGCTTTAAGCAGAGGTATGATAAAGCTCACGGCTCAGGTAGAGTGACCTAGTAGCGATCAGTGAAGAGGCGGGGCCAGGAGCTCGGACTCGACCCCCGCAACCTCAACTAGGCGAGTACAACTAGGTGAGTGTACACACAGACACAGACAGACACACAGACACACAGACACACAGACACACAGACACACGACACACAGACACACACACACACACACACACACACACACACACACACACACACACACACACACACACACACACACACACACACACACACACACACACCACACATGCACGCAGACACATTTTATTCATTCTAGAATATATATCATGTTTCTGTATTATTTATATTGTTTGTCATTAGATCAGTTGTGATAGATAAATAAGCTGTAGAGTTATTAGCTTTGTATTGAAGTATTTTCTCCTGCCTATTGAGAGCAGGAATTCCACTGGAATGGATTAATGGCATTTCATTTAATTTCAGCGAGAAAAATTTATTTGCTATACGAGCAAACTGAGTTACGAGCTAGGTCACGGAACGGATTAAACTCGTAAGTCAAGGTACCACTGCATTATTATGATAGATCTACAAGCTTTGTGTGTGAAAGACTAGGAAACGTATTGCTCATCATTGCATAAAGGGCAAGTGAGGCAAAAGAATATCTTTATTTTTTACCTTAAAATTTGTGAATGATTAAGGAGTACATTTGTAAGTATGAAGTGGATTCATTTTCTGGAAGTGCACAATTGACTGAAGGATCTCTTAGTGGATGCCTCAATTCTGGTGCAGAGCTCTTGATCTAAGGAATTGGAGCTGCCCTCCCTTGGATCAACTTGATTATCTTCATTTCCCCCGGTGCATTATAATCCTAATGGGTTTAGTGCCTCCCATGGATAAAAAAAATTGGCCAGATAATTGTGATTTGTAATTTAAAAATAATTGATGCCTATATTTACTAGGTTATGATAAGGTTTCTCTTTTTCCTATTCTGAGTTTTTCAAAATGGTAGTTACATGAAGGCAGAGGTTTAATTTAGAAGCAGGTAGGCAAGAACCGTAGTAAGGTGGACGTATATTGATAAGGGCGTTATGTTCCGCTCCCCATCACTAGGCAATTCAAGTTGTCCATACTGATGAGTTCATTGTTTCTCTCCCACTCCCTGTTGCTAGGTTAGTGAGGCAGCTTTACTGATGAGGTTTGCTAGTTTCTCTCTCAGCTGGTTCCAGTGATGATGATTCGAGCAAGAGTCAAGATTCTGTTGAGCATCAGACCAAGAGACGCAAAAGCCGCTGGGGAAACTCGTCTACCCCGGAGGCCATACAGCTGAAATTGCCAGTCCAAGGTAGGTGTAAAGGCCTAGGAAAAGTGTTTCTGGTAACTCTACCTTACCTAGCTGTAGAGGACCAACCCTTAAGATTTGTCGAGTTAGGTTGATGAATAATATTTTTTTAATTAAAAAATATCATTCATCAAGCAAATCTAGATATGGGCTCATCAGTCCTCCTTCCAGAGGTCAGCCCCTCCCCACAAGGATACAGATTAACTTCTTTATTATTTTTAATCCACGTAGTTTTAGACAGCTATCCAAAACAAGCCAGTGAGGTGACTGCTTTGAAAAATCTGCAGTGCATCTGTCATTGGTGGCTTTGTCAGATGTGACTGACTGCTGTCATGCATGTTACCAGCTGTAGGCTACAAGATGGTGTCACCCACATATTGTTTTTGTAATGAAAATGGCATATATGAAACATTTAAAACAACTGGAAAATGACTTCATAGTTGTGAACAAAAGCTGAAGAAAACAAATACAGTAGGCCCCGCTTTACGGAGTTTCACCTTACGGCATTCCGCTAATACAGCGATGTCAAATTATGACCAATATTTGCTATATGGCAAGCGGTCTTTCAAATACGGCACGCCCCACCCGGTTTGTTTACATTCTCCATGACCACATCTATTATGTCAGGAAACTTTCCAAAATTTCAAGTGTTTTAAAGTTACTGTGCATTTTATATGTACTCTGATAATTATATTTGTGTACCTGTACTTAAATATACTTACACCCTGTGCTGGTGTGCAGGTACATATTAAAATCGCTAAGTCTCTCTACTCATGACGCCAATACTACGTAATAATAATCACTCTTGGGCACACTGAATGTCTTATTTTACATTAATATAGGCATTTTCATTAATCCATCTATGATATTTTCCTCAATTATAAATGAAACCCATTACATAGCGTATAAACATGATACATACTCACAGAATAAAAATTGACGTAAATATGAGATTTGTTTACAAAGCGGCTTTGTAGGTAGTGTCAGAGGAATTACGTTTTCTCTAGTCAAACTGGGGGATAACTGTAGAAAAATATTCTTTACATATGCCTTCACTCTATATATAGCAATTCATGACCCTTGTGGGTTTAGTGCTTTTTATGATATCTTCATTCACTCTAAAAATGGTGTGTTTCTGTTTGTTCTGTACTAACTTGTACAACTTGTACAGAATATAAGAGTACACCTACCATCCTACTTATGACCTGCTCGACTTACGACCGCTCGACTTACGACCGTGTTTTTTATGCCAAATTTCTTGGAAATAAACAACTATTTGTGTTGTACACAGTGTTTATCCTAAACCTTACAGTATAAAATACAGTACTAACAACATAAAAAGTAAAGTAAAACATGAAATACCGAAATAAAACAATAAAATAGTTATTACAAAAATGTGATGTTGATATTCAGTAGTAAGGTTCGACTTGCGTCCATTTCGACTTAGGACCGGTTTCTCAGAACCGAACTCGGTCGTAAGTCGGATGGTAGGTGCATTTGTATTGTGAGGTAATTATTATTATAATAAAAAAGAGGTAAATGTTTTACAAACTTACAAACGTACGTGAATGAACTAAAAGTAGACACATATTAATACGCATTTATTTCGCCTGACCAAGTGATCGCCCACTGCCTGTTCAGTTTGTGTTCTTACATTGTCTGAACTCTGTATCTCGTTCTCTCTTTCTCGTTTACTCTTTTGTTAACTAATTGGCTCTCATTGACGATGGCGTCTAAGCTTAGCTGTGATAAAAAGAGGAGTCATAAGCCTCTTGCTTTAAGTGCCAAGTTAGAAGATGGTGTGCCATTCTGATTTTATTCAATAAACACCCTGCCACTTACCTCTCACACACTAATATTAATATTTTAAGGTGAGTAATAAGTGTATTCTTTGTGCATCTTACCATTTATTGTGTTTTTAATGCTTATTTCTATTAACTTAATATAAGTTAATGTAAACTTGTTGTCTGATATTTATTGTAAATTTTATATGTGCTCTGATAATAATTGTGGACCATGTGTGGTAGCCGGGTGGAGGGACAACATTACGTTTTCTCTGTTCAGCCATCAGAGAAAACGTGTAGGAATCTGCGTTTAGCCCAGCTACTCCCCCACTCCACTTTTGTTTACAATTTTCGGCATGAATTATTCATTACTTCTCCCTTCGTTTATGATGGCATCTAAAGGCAGTTATTAGAAACGATTAAATTCAGTGAACAAGTTATGTCGATGCTAATAATATGGCTCTGGGCCACAGTAGGTAGGTAGCCCTCCTGGGCTACACCTACCGGCTACCTACACTGACTTCCTACAAATAAATACTACTCGCCTCTCTTCTATATTAAGACTACACACATTTTAAGGTAAATAGTGAGTGTACTGTATGCGTATTTTAACACTGGGATGTTTTAAAGATCGTATGTTAAGTATGAGACGGGGAGCCAGGGCTACCTACTCCTGACTTCCTACAAATAAGTACTACTCGCCTCTCTCCCTACATTAAGATAACAAATACTTCAAGATAAGTAATGAATGTACTGTGAATGTATTTTACTTTGTGTTTTTAATGCCTAGTTCTGTTACTAACTTAATATAATTTAGTGTAAACTTATCTGGCATTTATATGCATTTATAAATGGAAAAAATGGCGTTCTGCCTTCCGGCGATGTCTGCTTTGCGGCGACAGCCTGGGACCTAACTCGCTGTATAAGTGGGGCCCTACTGTACATTGTTCACCATTCACACCAGTTACTATGTTTTAGATACCTATAAAATGTATATATATCTTTGACATTCAGAAAGCAATTATATTCAGTTGTATATGTTATGTTTAATCAAAAGGATAGCAATAAAAAATCCTGACCTACCCTTTTTTTTTTTTTTTTTTTTTTTTTTTTTTTTTTTTTTTTTTTTTTTTTTTTATCAGGAACACTTTTGTCTATATGGTGACAAGGTCTGTATATATACAGTAAAAACCCCATATCCACTGATTTGGTATTCGCAGTTTGTTATCCATGGTTTACTTTGGCCCAAAAGTACCTCTTAATTTTGCATAATAATAGCCCCAAAGAACAAAAGTGGAAAAGCTGACAGTTCTTCAAAGTCTAAGAGAAGCTGTGAAGTGCTTGCCATCATTGAAAAAATGATAATTCTCCACTTATTATGCATAATTTATCAAATAAACTTTATAATGGTATGTATGGAACTTGTATATAGGGTTTGCTACTATCCCCAGCAGGTCTTAGGAATGTATCCTCCGTGGATACTGGGGTTCTACTGTACAGTGCTGTAAGTGAATGTGCAAGGGTGACTTAGAACATTTCACATTTTAATGTTTTTATCATAAGAGTGATGCACTATATCATTTCTTTATGTAGTATTAGAAATATTGCCTTTAATAATTGTCCTGAACTGTATACAGTTGTCATTTTCCACAGTTTGCCTCGCCCATTTACAACCATGCACATAACAGTACAAATTGCATAATCTCAAATGGTATTTTTTGGAACCAGTTAACCTTGAGTAGATATGTATTGTAGTTTCACTCATGAAAGGTTATGAAAGGACAGCTTTCCCAATGATTTGCTACCCGACTCGAAAACAAGTAAGCACTGTCTTAAGAGTAGACACACTAAGCAAAGATCAGAGTCTTTGTTTCTGCAGAATTTTGTATATTTTAAGTTGAAATGTGCTCTACTGCTGTGGAATATTTTAATTTGAGAAAATTTTTTCTTTCCTAGTGAATATACAGCCTCTCCTCATTTAACGACGTACTCGTTTACCAACGACTTTGACTTACGATGGGCTCTCTGACCAGTATGCATACTTAAATAATGTATATTAGAGCTGATTTCTTCTTTTCTATTTATTACATCTTGTAGGAGTGAGGAAGAGCCAGTTGTGAGTGTGGGGGAAGTTCGTGAGGCAGTAGGTAAAATGAAAGGGGGTAAGGCAGCCGGGATTGATGGGATAAAGATAGAAATGTTAAAAGCAGGTGGGGATATAGTTTTGGAGTGGTTGGTGCAATTATTTAATAAATGTATGGAAGAGGGTAAGGTACCTAGGGATTGGCAGAGAGCATGCACAGTTCCTTTGTATAAAGGCAAAGGGGATAAAAGAGAGTGCAAAAATTATAGGGGGATAAGTCTGCTGAGTATACCTGGTAAAGTGTATGGTAGAGTTATTATTGAAAGAATTAAGAGTAAGACGGAGAATAGGATAGCAGATGAACAAGGAGGCTTTAGGAAAGGTAGGGGGTGTGTGGACCAGGTGTTTACAGTGAAACATATAAGTGAACAGTATTTAGATAAGGCTAAAGAGGTCTTTGTGGCATTTATGGATTTGGAAAAGGCGTATGACAGGGTGGATAGGGGGGCAATGTGGCAGATGTTGCAAGTGTATGGTGTAGGAGGTAGGTTACTGAAAGCAGTGAAGAGTTTTTACGAGGATAGTGAGGCTCAAGTTAGAGTATGTAGGAAAGAGGGAAATTATTTCCCAGTAAAAGTAGGCCTTAGACAAGGATGTGTGATGTCACCGTGGTTGTTTAATATATTTATAGATGGGGTTGTAAGAGAAGTAAATGCGAGGGTCTTGACAAGAGGCGTGGAGTTAAAAGATAAAGAATCACACACAAAGTGGGAGTTGTCACAGCTGCTCTTTGCTGATGACACTGTGCTCTGGGAGATTCTGAAGAGAAGTTGCAGAGATTGGTGGATGAATTTGTAGGGTGTGCAAAAGAAGAAAATTAAAGGTGAATACAGGAAAGAGTAAGGTTATGAGGATAACAAAAAGATTAGGTGATGAAAGATGAATATCAGATTGGAGGAGAGAGTATGGAGGAGGTGAATGTATTCAGATATTTGGGAGTGGACGTGTCAGCGGATGGGTCTATGAAAGATGAGGTGAATCATAGAATTGATGAGGAAAAAGAGTGAGTGGTGCACTTAGGAGTCTGTGGAGACAAAGAACTTTGTCCTTGGAGGCAAAGAGGGGAATGTATGAGAGTATAGTTTTACCAACGCTCTTATATGGGTGTGAAGCATGGGTGATGAATGTATGCAGTGAGGAGAAGCTGGAGGCAGTGGAGATGTCATGTCTGAGGGCAATGTGTGGTGTGAATATATGCAGAGAATTCGTAGTTTGGAAGTTAGGAGGAGGTGCGGGATTACCAAACTGTTGTCCAGAGGGCTGAGGAAGGGTTGTTGAGGTGGTTCAGACATGTAGAGAGAATGGAGCGAAACAGAATGACTTCAAGAGTGTACAGTCTGTAGTGGAAGGAAGGCGGGGTAGGGGTCGGCCTAGGAAAGGTTGGAGAGAGGGGGTAAAGGAGGTTTTGTGTGCGAGGGGCTTGGACTTCCAGCAGGTATGCATGAGCGTGTTTGATAGGAGTGAATGGAGACAAATGGTTTTTAATACTTGACGTGCTGTTGGAGTGTGAGCAAAGTAACATTTATGAAGGGGTTCAGGGAAACCGGCAGGCCGGACTTGAGTCCTGGAGATGGGAAGTACAGTGCCTGCACTCTGAAGGAGGGGTGTTAATGTTGCAGTTTAAAAACTGTAGTGTAAAGCACCCTTCTGGCAAGACAGTGATGGAGTGAATGATGGTGAAAGTTGTTCTTTTTCGGGCCACCCTGCCTTGGTGGGAATCGGCCAGTGTGATAATAAAAAAAATACAGTACGCTACTGTATAAACATTTAAAAATACATATACTAAAAATGTTATAAATGGTACAAAGGTGACATTAAAACAATATCAAAGATGGTTGCCACAAACCCACTACCAATATAGTATGCTGCTTGCTTAGCGACGAATTTGTTTACTGATGTGGTTTTAGGAATGGAACTCCGTTGTTAAGTGAGGAGAGGCTGTATTAAAAAAAAGGAGGATGTTGATCATGTCATTAAGGTTACATAGAATTGGTTTGCTTGAAAAAATGGTACTTTTTTTTTTTTTCCCAAGCTAAGGCAAAAATTCTCGGTTGAAATTCCATTTCTTTTTTTCATGAAATGCATTATGCTTAACATTTTGTGGCTTGCAAAAAAAAAAAAAAAAAAAAAAAAAAATCTTTGTCTTCTAAAGTGCCGCCAAACCCAACCACTCCATTGAGCCTGAACGTGCCGGATAATCTGATGGGTATGGTGGGTGAAGGAGAGCACATAGCAGCTATTCATGGTGTTATGGTTACTCACCTAACAAGGAACACACCTGCCATAATTGCTTATGCTAAAAGGGTATTTGACTCTACGGATCTGACAGAAGCACAGTGGAAGCAGTGTGAAGATCAAATGAAGGTAATTAAGTCTTAGCATTTTGACACATTGCTCATTTGTAATATGTAACTTTAAAGATTGATTTTGACCCTCTGAAGATTACAATACTGTACTTAGTCTAAACTTTTTCACATCTAACTTGTATGTTCAAAATTTATATGGTTGCAATCCAAAGACATTAATTGGGCCAATACATTCCCTTCAAAGCTATGGAAATTAATCATATTTTAGCCATTCTTTCATGAGGTGCTATGGGTAACTGATATTGAACATAGCCCTATTATATGATGCCCTATGGTGGCAGTTGAGCATAACATACAGGTTGGTGGATGAATTTGGGTGATTACTTAAAAGAAAGAAATTAAAAGTGTACATAAAGTGCACAGTAATAAGAGTAACAAAAAATCTAGGCAGTGAAAGACAGAGTATCAGATTGGAGGGAGTTTGGAGGAAGTAAATGCATTCGGATTCATTTAAATATCTGAAGACTGTTTTATGGTGTTGCTGGTTCACTTGCTTTCCATCACCCTTTCAAAGGACTAGAAAATCCTTTACAGAGTTTTAGAACAATAGAATGTAATAAAAGAGAAAGCAGTAAATGCTGAACTACTGTAAGTTTGAGAAAATTATTATGTAGAGTAAATACTACAGTATTTGTTGTTAATCCTGTAACAACAAATACTGTAGATAATTAAAGATGGGTCATCTATAAGTACAGTAGTATTTATCTTGGAATATTGAACCTCTCAGCTTGTTTATAAGTAAAGTCCTTAGTTTTAATGTGTGAATTATATTTAACATATTTCTAAAAATTGTGTGCATTTTGTGTGAATTAGTTATTTTTGGTTACTATATGTATTTTTATTTAGGTAATTGTTCCACTAAAAAAAAAAAAACTAACAAAATTACCAGTAATCCAGACATGTTACTAATAAAAAAAGTGTGTAGTTTAGAGTAATGTATGTAGAGCACTATCAGAAGTATTGGTTTGGAGGTCTGGAGCTGATGTGGATGAATTTTGTTACTATAATTGATAGACCTAGAAACTGCCTGGTCACAGACCGGGGCGTGGGGGTGTTGACCCCTGAAACCCTCTCCAGGTATCTCCAGTACTAAGCATTATGCATGACAAGCTGGGTGGGTTAAACATATCCAGATGTTTGACAAATTCTGAATAAGTCACTAACTGAAATAATTTAGTCATGTTTAGTTTGAAGCTTACCCCACTGTAATTTACTTTTTAAAAGCCATGGTAGATTCTCATGCAGTTTTTTTTTTAGCGTATTTTGCTTTTATTATAAGAATATTCTCTCAACAGATGAATGTAGTATTTCAGCTTCTTCAAGCTAAGAAGAGGGAAACTGAGCGTTTGGAGCAACAAGGAAAAGTGAAATATGAATATGATTCTGATGAGGACATTGAAGGTGGTACCTGGGAACACAAGAGGTTAGGAAACCTCTAATATCCTTGTAGGCTTCTGTGATCATGTTAAAGCAGAGTGAATGGGGACAAGTGATTTAATGGCTTGATGTGCTGTTGAAGTATGAGGCATGACATTTATGATGGGATTCAGGGAAACTGGTTAGTCATACATGATTTTTGGAGGTGGGAAGTATAGTGCAAGCATCATGAATTTTTCCATTCATGCCATTTGAATTATGATTTCTACTCACTCCTGGCTCATGAATGATGGTTAATGTGTTTCCTTTTTGTGGGTTACTCTACCTTTGTGGGAGATGGTAGTAGGAGAATAAAAAAAATAAAGAAATTGCATTATATTTGTGAAGTGCTAAACCCATGCTAATCATTTAGTACAGTGGTGGAGGATTACTCCTCCATCTGCTTAGACATATGAGATGGATGGCCTACCTAACCATACTTACTGAGTTCAGCTATCATTTAAGAACTTTTCTTCAGGAGAGCGAAAGAAATGCAGGAGACGCATGCAAAAGCAGCAGAGCTTACAAACCTGGCGGAGGGAAAACATCATATTGGAGACTTTCTGCCTCCAGATGAATTAGCAAGATTTATGGAAAAGGTATGTTGTTTACCAAGTATTAAAACAATAAGATTATCATTATTATTTCTTGATTTTTTGAGGAATCTGCTTTCTGAGCAGTGCAGAGTTAACTCTTGAGTAAATATTGAATTTTTTTTTTAAATATATAATTTATGGCAGAATTCAAGAAAAACCTGTTGGCCTTGTTCTGGAGGTGGTACATATAGTTCTTGAACTCTGAGTGGTGATGGGGTTTTTTGGGCCAATTAAATTGTCCCATACTTGTGGCAAGATAGCTATTGAATGATAGTGAACTGTGAAAAAAAAAATACATTTAGATAAGGTTATATACAGTTCATATTAACAGTGGTAAACATTTTTAAGCATGAAAATGAAGCAGATGCGAGTGGAATGGTAATAATGCTGTGATTATGGTAGGTAAGTAATGAATGCTTAGGAATTTGGGATGGTGTAACTATGATAGTTATGCAATTTAAATTTTTAAATACTCTATTAAAGTAGTAATGGATTTGGTGTTGACACCATGTGGTTTGGACATTTAGAAAGGATGTCTCAAAATAAGATGACTTAGAGAGTGCATAAATCTGTAGTGGAGGGAAGGCAGGGTAGATTGTAGGGAGGGGGTAAAGGTTTATTTTTATGTGAGGAGCTTGGCCATCCAACAGGCACATGTGAGCGTGTTAGATAGGTGTGAGTGCCAGCAAGTGGTTTTTATGACTTCATGTTTTGAGTGTGAGCAAGGTAACATTTATGAAAGGATTCAGAGAAACTGGTTAGCCAGATTTGAGTCCTGGAGGTGGTAAGTACAGTACCTGCACTCTGAAGGAAGGGTGGGGATATTGCAGTTTGAAGGGTCATCTGAATTGTAGTATCTGCACACCTCTGGCAAGACTGATGGAGTGAGTGATGGTGAAGAAAGCTTTTTATTTTTTTGGTTACCCTATCTCAGCGGGAGATGATTTTTTTTCCAGTCTATACATAATTTATACAGCTGAAATTTATAAACAGTAAACTTTTGACTTAAGTGAATGATGATGGAGTGGGTGATTGGTAATGGGGATTGTAGTGGGTAGAGATAAGACTGTTTTACCATGGGTGTAACAATACTGGATAGTTCTGCAACTAGTGGACTTTGTTTCCAAATTAATTAATTCAGTGGATTGCCGTGTATTCCTGGAGTCCATTAAATCAAGTTCGAGAGTTTTCTGTAACCGAGATCTAAAGGCGGAAAGTGTAGAGATGTGGTTCAGCAAGTCATTTAAGTTTTGATGAGATAGCATATGATGGTAATTTTTCTATCAATCTACTTTGATGCAAACAGCCTGTTTAAAGATTCTGTTGATAATTTGGTATTAACCCTTTCAGGGTCCAGACCTCCAATCTGAAACTTATCCACAAGGTCCAAGAATTTTCAGAAAGAAAAAAAAATTATTTTTCTTATGAAATGATAGAAAATCTTTTTCTGAAGGTAATAAAACAAAAAGTACAAAATTTGATGGCAAATTGATGAAATTATGCTGTCACAAATTTTGTTGCGCCAGCGATATTTACACATCGGCGATTTTGCCCATTTTGACTCTTATTTTAGGCCAATTACATTGTTCCAGGCAGCCAGACCCTTAGCTATTTCGCTAGTATCCCTGCCATTTGGTACAAGAATGGCATACAATACCAACAAGATGTACTTAAGACACGTGTGCAACATCTGGGTATCTTTATTGTAGATGTTTTGCCATCCTTGTCAGTATTGTATACCATTCTTGTACAGCTTGCCAGACACTGCAACATTATGAAACCTTGATTCTGAGGACATGTACATATCATTCACGACTACGACAACTACTACTACTATCCCATCTCTATGGATAGGACCTACTTCCACTGGGGAATCCCACCTGCCAGTGACTATGCCCTCGTTTGCTACATGTCCCCTTTCCACCTGACATTAGTATATAAGCGCCAGGCTCCTTGGCTCTGCTTCAGAATCTCCACAACTACGGTGCTCTTCACACCAACTCCAAGACTGAGGGACTGATTTCCTCATCTTCTGTATATAGTTCTACTGTCTTCAAATTATGTCCTGGAATTTGTATTGATGAAGCCACTGGATGGCAAAGCATCTACAATAAAGATACCCAGATGTTGCACATGTCTTAATTTCACCCTTCCATTTTATCGACTGAGAACAAGAAACCGCCCAATAAACTACAGTGGACCTTCCCTTATTGTCGATCTCCATTATCGCCGATTTCTCTTTTCGCTGACTTTTTTCGTCAAAATATTGGTTCCGTTTTCGTCAATTTCCTCCATTTTCATCGATGGTACGGAACCTGTCTAGTGCCCAGGACACAGACAAAGCCGCCTTCCACACGCATTCTTAGGCACGTGTTGTTTCTCGGTGAGTGAACATATCCTGCCAGGTCATATGAAACATTTCGTAATAATCCATTGTTTTTGGCACTTGTTTATTATGTGTGACTGCTAAATAAGCCACCATGGGCCCAAACAAAGCTCCTAGTGCCAGCCCTTTGGTAAAGAAGGCGAGGAACACGATAGCATTAAAGAGAAATCATAGCAAAGTACCAAAGTGGAGGAGGAAGAGAGAGGAGAGAATGTGCCTTCTTCAGTGATTCATCGATATGTACAATACTAAAGCAGCACAAGTCGATAAGGACTGTAGTGTCTGCCAGCGATAAAATGTAGCATTAACAGTGTAGCAAGCAAGTTAAGCGGTTAATCGATAGAAAAAGCACAGCACGAACCTAACTCCTCCAGTGTTGTTGGAGTTATATAGGGCTACTGAGAACACTGCCATCTCTGCTGCTGCCTTCACCACCACTATGTATGGCTTAAGCTCTCAGTGGCCCTTATACACCCAACAACTGCACAACGCATTTTGTGACAGACATAATGACACGTTCATTCTAGAGTATATGTCGTGTTTCAATGTTATTAATGTTGTTTATGTCATAGATGAATTGTGATAGATAAATAAGCCATGGAGTTGATATTAATGTCGTATTGAAGCATATTGTTCTGTCTCCAGCAATAAACTCGCCTCCCTCTCCTTTCCTCCCAGTCTGCCTTACACCAACAAGAGTTTAGTAAAGGCAAGTGTGATGTTAAATGTTTATGCATTTTATTAGTGTTTTATATTGTCATTTTTTTCTACATGTAAATCTATATTTAACCCTTAAACGGTCCAAAGAGATCGACATTCAAATTCGTAGTGCTACAAGAGTAGATCTACTTTTTTTTACATATTTTCAAATATAAAAAAAAAATGTAGATAAAAGATTTTTTTACACGTTTTCAAATGTAAAACGAAAAAGAAGATAACATTTTTTTACATACTTTCAGATGTTGAAAAAATGTATATATACATTTGGACCATTTAAGGGTTAAAAGCTAAAAAAAAAAAAAAAAAAAAAAAAAAAATTTTTTTGTTAATACTTCTGGGTTTCTGAAATGGATTAATTGGATTTGCATTACATGTATTTCTTATGGGGAAAATGGTTTCCGTTTTTGCCAATTTCCATTTTTGCTGATCACTCTGGAACAGATTAAACATGAAAATCAAACGTCCACCATATTTCAACTACCCAGTAAAGTGATGAGAAATTGGTAATATGGCCGATTTCACACAAAGTTCAAAATATTCCAATTTCAAAATAGGGTTCAGAATAAACTGCAGGCATTCCTGGCACTAAAATAGCATTTCCTCTGTTTATTGGCTATCTTTCCAGGCTTTACACATGAATTTATTTGATTTTTTATTCGCGTTAAGAATTTTTATTCACGCCAAAAAATAGATTTACTTGACTCATGAAATCGTAATGACACGATTGCAAACAAACCATACCATGGGCAGGGATAGAACCTTCGACGGTCTGGAGTTTTGAGACTCCCTGATCGCGGGTTCTATCCCCGCTTGTGGTATGGTTAGAAGATTTACTTTTATGCAATGTTGTTGTAATAATTGTACAAATATCAGTGTGTTCGTGAACGCATGTTAGATCCACCTGGTGATGTGTATTGGACGAGTGATGCGATTTGTTTACTCTTGAACATTATGCAAAAATCATACATTTCTGCTACTTTTAGCTCAGTTTCAAGCTATTTTCATTACTAAAACCAATCAAAATCAAATCTTTTTCTGTAATATATCTTCCATTTTATCAAATGAGACCAAGAAACCGTGAATATCACCATAAAAAGATACACTGCAGAGTCTGTTTTAATCCAAAAATAAGGTCATTTTTTTTTCCTCGTGCACTGCATACTGCAGGATTTGTTTTATATGGTGCACACTTACCACGAAGATGCATCTCTCATATCTAGGCCCAGATTTACCGCTCACAGTTTACCTGAGTGAGCTGAGCTCGTGTCGTAGAACTAAGGTACTGACCCTGGCTTCAAAGCCGTAGAACTATGGCATGGACCCTCAAAGGTTTGATAATATACTTAGTGCCATGTTCATGAGGTTCGAAGCAACACAGTGCAGTACAAATTTTGGTAATGGTAAAAGTAGTAACACTATTAACAATGAACAAAAGCTTTTATAGAACTGTTTTTTAATTTGACACATTTTTTTGTAAATTATATATGTACATATTCAGACTTAAAACTTGCAGAATAATTTTTTATGCAACTTTGTATGATTATCTCTGCATGCATTTTTGTAGAATAAGAAAATTCTTCTATTAATCAATATTTATTGTTACAGTATCGAGCAATAAAAGAGGGTCGGGATCCTGATCTCTCAGACTATCAGCAACACAAACTTACTGAAGATAATGTTGGCTACAGAATGTTGAAGAGCATGGGATGGACAGAGGGAATGGGTCTTGGTGCAGAAGGCAAAGGCATAACAGCACCCGTTAACCAGTAAGTTTAGTCATTAAATTTTTCACTATGGATTCGTGTTTTTAAGAATGACGTCTGGTACCTGTTGGTACAAATCTGTCCTTTGGGCTTTCTGACATTGTCCTTGTTTCCACTAAGAAGACCTCTTCAAATTGTTTGATCAACAGTTAACACATTTTTTGTGAGCTGCTCTCTCTCTCTCAGTTGAATTACCAGGTCTTTTACTGATGTGGCTGTGAAGCAGTATTGGTTCAGACTTGGCTTTTGTTGTTGGCTAATCTACTCTTTGTCCTTTATCTTTCCATTGCTTTCTGTAGTTTTTCCACTCTTGTGCTTCTCTTTTCTGTCCCTCTGTGTTGTTGGTTGTACCAAAGACACTATTTTTGCTGTTTCTGCATCATCTGGGTATGAAGTTCTCTGCCTTCTTGCATTTTCCAGCTTGGTTGTCCATTTCATATGCTGACTTTTCTTCCAGTTCTCTGGTCCACTGCATTGCATTTAGGAGTTCTATCATTCCCTTCTCTAAAATTTTGTTTCTTGTGCCCTTCGTCTGCCATCTTTTCTGATGCCTTTAGTTCCACATGATACTTGAAGATTAGGACTGTTTAATCTAGTACTAGCACCCATGGGGCTCTCATATTATGTCTGATGTGTTTGTGGTAAATATTTGGTACTGCCTTGCTGACTCTTTCTCTACTCTCATGTCCTTAACATGCTGAGTCAGTTTTCTCTAATCACCTCCATCAGTTTATCCCTCCACATATGGTCCCCCATGTGGGTCCCAGTTCTCCCATCTGTTTCTTTGTGGTTGGAGTTACCCATTATAAGTAGTTTTGCTTTAACTCTATATGCACTCTTAGCTGCTGCTACTGCTGTGTCAACCATTGCTCTGTTTTCTTCATATTCCTGCTTCAGTCTTGTGTTACACGGTGGGTTATATATCACTCCTACTACTTGGGGTTCCTCCGTCTTAACTGAGCCCACTATGAAGTCATTTGCTTCTTGTCTGTTTATCCCTCTTGCCTCTTGAAAAGCCCCTGATTTCCTTCACTGCCCCCATTTCTTTTGTCCTTCCTTATCACTTGATATCCTCCTGTTATTATGGCATTTGATATCATTTCTATCAGCTTTCCCTCTGTGATAGGTATGATGTCCGAGTTTACCTCAACTATTGGTTCTTTCAGTTCATCATTCTTGTATGATAATCCACCTGTATTAGAGTATTGCACCCTGAGCTTACGTTTGCTTACCATACACTGAGCATTTTGCTCATTTGTCAGGAGTGGGGGAGGTAGGGCTGGGGTTGGTGTGCTTACCACTAGTCAAGGAGAGGTCAGGGATAAGGTTATTGGCAGGGAAGGGTAAGAGGGGGAGGAGGGTCAGGGGTTAGTGTTGGGAAAATGAGGGGCTGACCCTTAGTCAAGCCAAGATGTCACAAATGGAAATTGCACACTCATCTATGCCACCTAGACATTAGGAAACCCTTCTTCAGTGTAAGAATAATAAAAGTGAAATTAGCTACACAGTGTCAGCAGAAACCAACTCCATACAAGGTTCAAATGTAAATAAAATGAAACAAATTCCCATTATCAATCTAAAACTAAGAGGCAGGCCAGAGCTAGATCTTACCCCCAAAAACTCGAATAAGCAGCTAGATTATCCCAATCATGAATAAGGAAATGTTTATACTTTTACTACTGGGTGCATTTCCACTGCCAAAATAGAATAATGAATGGTGGTATCAGCTAATAACTTACCATGTTATTAAGTACACCACTTAAATTTTCATTCTTATTATTTATCTTATATTTATCATTTCTAGTGTCCTCTAAACATTTTCCTTACAACAGGAATGGTCGTTCAGAGAGCCAGGGTTTAGGTGTTGAGAGACCCGAAAATCTGCAGGAAGAGGATGATGAGTATGATGCATACAGAAAACGTATGATGCTAGCATATCGTTTCCGGCCAAATCCTCTAGTAAGTGAAATTCTAAACTAATTTATATAAATTTCAACTCTTGTACATAATTTTCTAGACTGTTTTGTTTTAGGTAAATAATATGTTTATATCTGTGGCCCTTGTTGACTTATAAATAGGTTCCTAGGTGTCCACTTTCACCTATTGCTCTTACGTTCACCAACCAGTAAATATTTGTCTTCAGCGGCAACATGAAAGATAATGCAAAAGAAGGAAGGAAAGGTGGTGAGGACAGCACTGCCAACATTTTAGGCTAAGTACTACTCTGCTCCAGCAACAGCTGTTGCGGAGCAACAGCTCGAACAATCCAGCATAGGGATATTGATGGTGTTGTGACGGGCGGGATACTTATTGTGTAGCGAGGGAGATGTTCAGTATGGAAAGCCAATGACATTAGAACATAAGAAAGAAGGAACACTGCAACAGGTCCACTGACCCATGCAGAGCAGGTCCATGCCCCCCCCTCCCCTGATTAGCCCAATGACCCACCCCCTAGGATTAGCCCAATGACCCACCCAGTCTGGCCACCTCCACTCGAGGGAGGAGCACGGCACCAGACCCAGCAGCACAAGCTAGGCAGGTCCAACTCAAACCCACCCACACCCACTCGTGTATTTATCTAACCTATTTATAAAACTACACAAAGTTTTAGCCTGAATAACTGTACTCGGGAGTTTGTTCCACTCATCCACAACTCTATTACCAAACCAGGGCTTTCCTATATCCTTCATGAATCTGAATTTTTCCAACTTGAAACCATTGCTGTGAGTCCTGTCTTGGCTGGGAATTTTCAGTACACTATTTACATCCCCTTTATTTATTGCTATTTTCCATTTATACACCTCGATAATATCCCCCCTAATTCTACGCCTTTCGAGAGAGTGCAGATTCAGGGCCCTCAGTCTATACTCATAGGGAAGATTTCTGATACATGGGATCATCTTTGTCATCCTCCTCTGTACGCTTTCCAGAGCATTTATATCCATTCTGTAATACGGTGACCAGAACTGAGCAGCATAGTCTAAATGAGGCCTAACCAAGGATATATAGAGTTGAAGAACAACCTGAGGACTTCTATTATTTATACTTATAGATATGAAGCCAAGAATTCTGTTAGCTTTATAGCATGTTACAGCATATAAGAGCATTTTTTTTTTTTTCAAACAAGTCGGCCGTCTCCCACCGAGGCAGGGTGACCCAAAAAAAAAAAAAAAAAAAAAAGAAAGAAAATCCCCAAAAAGAAAACACTCCCATCATCATTCAACACTTTCACCACACTCACACATTATCACTGTTTTTGCAGAGGTGCTCAGAATACAACAGTTTAGAAGCATACACATATAAAGATACACAACATATCCCTCCAAACTGCCAATATCCCAAACCCCTCCTTTAAAGTGCAGGCATTGTACTTCCCATTTCCAGGACTCAAGTCCGACTATATGAAAATAACCGGTTTCCCTGAATCCCTTCACTAAATATTACCCTGCTCACACTCCAACAGATCGTCAGGTCCCAAGTACCATTCGTCTCCATTCACTCCTATCTAACACGCTCACGTATGCTTGCTGGAAGTCCAAGCCCCTTGCCCTCAAAACCTCCTTTACCCCCTCTCTCCAACCCTTTCGAGGATGACCCCTACCCCGCCTTCCTTCCCCTATAGATTTATATGCTTTCCATGTCATTCTACTTTGATCCATTCTCTCTAAATGACCAAACCACCTCAACAACCCCTCTTCTGCCCTCTGACTAATACTTTTATTAACTCCACACCTTTTCCTAATTTCCACACTCCGAATTTTCTGCATAATATTTACACCACACATTGCCCTTAAACAGGACATCTCCACTGCCTCCAACCATCTCCTCGCTGCTGCATTTACCACCCAAGCTTCACACCCATATAAGAGTGTTGGTACTACTATACTTTCATAAATTCCCTTCTTTGCCTCCATAGATAACGTTTTTTGACTCCACATATACCTCAATGCACCACTCACCTTTTTTCCCTCATCAATTCTATGATTAACCTCATCCTTCATAAATCCATCCACCGACACGTCAACTCCCAAGTATCTGAAAACATTCATTTCTTCCATACTACTCCTCCCCAATTTGATATCCAATTTTTCTTTATCTAAATCATTTGATACCCTCATCACCTTACTCTTTTCTATGTTCACTTTCAACTTTCCTACCTTTACACACATTCCCAAACTCATCCACTAACCTTTGCAATTTTTCTTAAGAATCTCCCATAAGCACAGTATCATCAGCAAAAAGTAACTGTGTCAATTCCCATTTTGAATTTGATTCCCCAAAATTTAATCCCACCCCACTCCCGAACACCCTAGTATTTACTTCCTTTACAACCCCATCTATAAATATATTAAACAACCATGGTGACATTACACATCCCTGTCTAAGACCTACTTTTACTGGGAAGTAGTCTCCCTCTCTTCTACACACCCTAACCTGAGCCTCACTATCCTCATAAAACTCTTTACAGCATTTAATAACTTACCACCTATTCCATGTACTTGCAACATCTGCCACATTGCTCCCCTATCCACTCTATCATATGCCTTTTCTAAATCCATAAATGCAATAAAAACTTCCCTACCTTTATCTAAATACTGTTCACATATATGCTTCAGTGTAAACACTTGATCTACACATCCCCTACCCACTCTGAAACCTCCTTGCTCATCCGCAATCCTGCATTCTGTCTTACCTCTAATTCTTTCAATTATAACCCTACCGTACACTTTTCCTGGTATACTCAGTAAACTTATTCCTCTATAATTTTTAGTCTCTTTTGTCCCCTTTCCCTTTATATAAAGGGACAATACATGCTCTCCGCCAATCCCTAGGTACCTTCCCCTCTTTCATACATTTATTAAACAAAAGTACCAACCACTCCAACACTATATCCCCCCCTGCTTTTAACATTTCTGTCATGATCCCATCAGTTCCAGCTGCTTTACCCCCTTTCATTTTACGTAATGCCTCACGTACCTCCCCCACACTTACATTCTGCTCTTCTTCACTCCTAAAAGATGGTATACCTCCCTGACCAGTGCATGAAATTACTGCCTCTGTTTCTTCCTTAACATTTAAAAGTTCCTCAAAATATTCTTGCCATCTACCTAATACCTCCCTCTCCCCATCTACTAACTCCCCTACTCTGTTTTTAACTGACAAATCCATACTTTCCCTAGGCTTTCTTAACTTGTGCAACTCACTCCAAAATTTTTTCTTATTTTCATTAAAATTTCTTGACAGTGCCTTTCCCACTCTATCATCTGCTCTCCTTTTGCACTCTCTCACCACTCTCTTTACCTTTCTTTTACTCTCCATATACTCTGCTCTTCTTATAACACTTCTGCTTTGTAAAAACCTCTCATAAGCTACCTTTTTCTCTTTTATCACACCCTTTACTTCATCATTCCACCAATCACTCCTCTTTCCTCCTGCCCCCACCCTCCTATAACCACAAACTTCTGCCCCACATTCTAATACTGCATTTTTAAAACTATTCCAACCCTCTTCAACCCCCCCCCCCCCCCCACTACTCATCTTTGCACTAGCCCACCTTTCTGCCAATAGTCGCTTATATCTCACCCGAACTTCCTCCTCCCTTAGTTTATACACTTTCATCTCCCTCTTACTTGTTGTTGCCACCTTCCTCTTTTCCCATCTACCTCTTACTCTAACTGTAGCTACAACTAAATAATGATCCGATATATCAGTTGCCCCTCTATAAACATGTACATCCTGGAGCCTACCCATCAACCTTTTGTCCACCAATACATAATCTAATAAACTACTTTCATTACGTGCTACATCATACCTTGTATATTTATTTATCCTGTTTTTCATAAAATATGTATTACTTATTACCAAATCTCTTTCTACACATAGCTCAATTAAAGGCTCCCCATTTACATTTACCCCTGGCACCCCAAATTTACCTACTACTCCCTCCATAACATTTTTATCCACTTTAGCATTGAAATACCCAACCACCATTACTCTCACACTTGATTCAAAACTCCCCATGCATTCACTCAACATTTCCCAAAATCTCTCTCCTCTACACTTCTCTCTTCTCCAGGTGCATACACGCTTATTATAACCCACTTTTCACATCCAATCTTTATTTTACTCCACATAATCCTTGAATTAATACATTTATAGTCCCTCTTTTCCTGCCATAGCTTATCCTTCAACATTATTGCTACTCCTTCTTTAGCTCTAACTCTATTTGAAACCCCTGACCTAATCCCATTTATTCCTCTCCACTGAAACTCTCCCACCCCCTTCAGCTTTGTTTCACTTAAAGCCAGGACATCCAGCTTCTCATTCATAACATCCACAATCATCTCTTTCTTATCATCTGCACAACATCCACGCACATTCAGACTTCCCACTTTGACAATTTTCTTCTTCTTATTCTTTTTAGTAATCTTTACAGGAAAAGGGGTTACTAGCCCATTGTTCCCGTCATTTTAGTTGACTTTTACAACACGCATGGCTTACGGAGGAAAGATTCTTATTCCACTTCCCCATGGATATAAAAGGAAAAGTAATAACACCAAGAACTATTAAGATAAAATCAAAGAAAACTCAGATGAGTGTGTATAAATAAATGTGTACATGTATGTGTAGTGTGACCTAAGTGTAAGTAGAAGTAGCAAGACATACCTGTAATCTTGCATATTTATGAAACAGACAAAAGACATCAGCAATCCTACCATCATGTAAAACAATCATCCTGTCATTTAGTGGGTTGCTGAACACCGACTCGTACTGTTCTTTTAGGATTTCACTCATTTCCTGTTCATCGTCAGTATACAAGTCTCCTCTCAGTAGTGGTCCAATTCTACAGGTAGTTCTTAGCTTGGATTTTGCGTAGGAATAGAAATATTTTGGGTTTCTTGCAATATCCTGTATGGCCTTTTGTTCCCTTTGTACTTCTTCTGTGAGGTATGACATCC